AAGTAGTCTATTGTTATTAAGAAGTAATCTATTATTATTAAGAAGTAATCTATTATTATTAAGAAGTAGTCTATTATTATTAAGAAGTAATCTATTATTATTAAGAAGTAATCTATTATTATTAAAAAGTAGTCTATTATTATTAAGAAGTAATCTATTATTATTAAGAAGTAGTCTATTATTATTAAGAAGTAATCTATTATTATTAAGAAGTAGTCTATTATTATTAAGAAGTAATCTATTATTATTAAGAAGTAATCTATTATTATTAAAAAGTAGTCTATTACTATCAAGAAGTAGTCGATTATTATTAAGAAGTGGTCTATTATTCTTAAGAAGTAATCTATTATTATTAAGAAGTAATCTATTATTATTAAGAAGTAGTCGATTATTATTAAGAAGTGGTCTATTATTATTAAGAAGTAGTCGATTATTATTGAGAAGTGGTCTATTATTCTTAAGAAGTAATCTATTACTATTAAGAAGTAGTCGATTATTATTAAGAAGTAGTCGATTATTATTGAGAAGTAATCTCTTATTATTAAGAAGTAATCTATTATTATTAAGAAGTAGTCTATTACTATTAAGAAGTAGTCGATTATTATTAAGAAGTAGTCTATTATTATTAAGAAGTAGTCTATTGTTATTAAGAAGTAGTCTATTATTATTAAGAAGTAGTCGATTATTATTAAGAAGTAGTCTATTATTATTAAGAAGTATATACATCAATACGTTTCTATGTAAAATATGGCTACGTTTAGGGATAATTGATAAATGACAGATTTTTTATTCAAAAACAAATAATTATAATTGTATGAGCCGAGTTTTACTCAATGGTTTGTGTGCCATGATATGGATCTAAGGACCCATGTTTCGCGTTCACTTACGTCCATAAAAGTTTGCGCTCCCCAGAGTTCGCAGTGAGTGGTCACCTCCAAAATTAGGGACGTGTAGCGCAGATAGGCTTTAAATAAATAATGTTCTATAGGTTATAAAATAATGTCGTTCTTTACATTTAACACATATTCACACTTTATTTCAGAAAACTCCGAGTCACACGTCACTCATAGACTGGACAAGAACCAACTGAAAATGGAATCTTTACCTGTCAGCAACGTTGATTAACTTCACGAGGTTACTACATTACAACTTGATAACAGTTGCTTAAAAGTGGTTTTTTTTTTAACTTGGTTAAATTTTCCAACATGGCTGCTCGAGTCTTAACGCGTCACACTTTTTTCGACAGCATCGAGTCAACAGAGAACGCCTACCGCGCGTCTCTGAACTTGGATATTGAGGTGAATATCAGTAGAAACGTGTGGTTGTTGTACGACATTGAGAACAGTTCGTCATATCAAAATGACACTAAGTATTTCTTCCCACTGACAATGTCCATTCCCGAAGCAACAACAACGGCCGTACTCCTCTCCACTATAATGATTTGTACGCTCTTTGGAAATGTTCTTGTCATCTTATCGATCTTCACCTACCGGCCTTTACGCAGCGTCCAGAACATGTTTCTTGTTTCTCTTGCCTCCGCAGACATCGCTGTTGCTATCCTAGTGATGCCACTGAATGTAGCGTATTCCATCATTGGTCGCTGGCTGTTCGGTTTGTGGGTCTGTGAGATGTGGCTTACCTTTGATGTTCTCTGCTGCACGGCGTCCATTCTGAATCTCTGCGCAATAGCCCTCGATCGATACTGGGCTATCCACGACCCCATCGATTATGCCCAGAAGCGAACACTCACAAGAGTTCTCTTTATGATTTTCTTGGTGTGGTCCATCAGCGCGCTCATTTCTATTCCTCCTCTGATTGGCTGGAACGACTGGCCACAGAATTTCACTGACACTACTCCCTGTAAGCTGACTGAGGAACAAGGCTACGTCATCTACTCTTCGAGTGGATCCTTTCTCATTCCGCTATTCATCATGACCATTGTTTATTTGAAAATATTTCAGGCTACAAAAAGACGACTTCGAAAACGAGCGAAACAAACACCCAAAGTAGTAGTTCCTAAAGCAGAAATAGACAATGGAAACCTTCTCAAACTTCAGACTCTCAAAAAGTGTGGAACAAACGTCAGCTTGGTAGTGACAACAGAAGAGGCTCAAGATAATGGTGAAGAGGAAGATGTTGGAGAGAGGATCCAGCAAGATGATCAGAACCAAGACAATGGACACAGACCTGGAGCGGTACGTCAGTACTTAGAACAAAGGCAAAAGATATCGTTGTCAAAGGAAAGGCGTGCTGCCAGGGTGTTAGGCATTGTGATGGGTGTTTTTGTGTTCTGTTGGCTCCCGTTCTTCCTCATGTACGTCATCCTACCGTTCTGTACCACTTGTCAAATATCACAGAGAGTGGTAAACTTTATTACTTGGTTAGGCTACGTGAATTCGGCACTGAATCCTGTAATTTACACAATTTTTAATCCCGATTTCAGGAAAGCTTTCCAAAGACTGTTGTGCTCCAATTAAAACCGTATACAACTGCATTTAATATTTCAGATTGAAGATATTTATTTTATGTAAACTATATCTAATACTTATATAGAAGTATTATAACCAGATTGAAATAGTGCATCAGTTGACGGTAAAATCCTGAATAAAGAAAGAAATTAAAATATTTGTAGTAAAAAGAAAACTTGTCAAAATTTTCTCAAAAGTGAAAAAAATCCACAAGGAACGCTTGGACTCCATTTTGGAAAAGTCTTATCACTGACCGACAAAGGAGACTGTGGAAAATGAGCCGTTCTTCAATCTGGAATACAAAAAACCATGTGGATTATTTTGTTTGGCGGTGAGCGGAATCTAATTTTCTACTTCTCCTGATTTCCATTTCCAAGGAGCAAGTTTTCGCTATGCCTCTTTTCTTTATTGTCTTCAACTTTCATTACAACATTCTCTGTGACTGCACGTTCAATTATAGCAGAAACTTTCCAGTGGTTTTTCTTTGCTTATTTTCTGACTGTTGGAAATCCCAGTTTGTAGGTGTGAAATTAAATTCATTTATAATATTTCAAAGTTATCTTTAGATTTTTAACGCGTAAAAATAGTTCAAATTGTACATCTCATCAAAAACTTGACTAGACGGTGAAATCGTTCAGTAAAGCCGAGAAATTCAATATAGATGGCAGCACATCATCTAACCTATCTAAGAACCCAGTGTGTGTCACGTCACGCTTGAAAAAATATATTTTTTTTCGAAATAGGAGAAGTCATAAAAACCAAAATGCATTTATCCAGATAGAATAGTTCGATTACTGTCTGCCCATTACGATTTTAGTGACGGGGGGTGCGAGGGATCCGTGAGGGGTGTGTGTGTCATGAAACCTTATAAGTTGTAGTGACTGTTGGTATAATAAGCCTAAAGTAAAGACGTAGTGTGAGATCACCTGACCTAGAGCCGAGTGCATAAAATTTATCATGAAAGTAAAAATATCGATTCAATTTTAAACTTAAATCGTTTCTGAATTAAGCTACTTTCTGTTATATCACCAACGTTTTTAATAATAATAAAAAAACTCTTTACATTTACAAGTTAACTTCTCCATGTTGGATCTCATGTTCTCGGGTCAGGTCACAGATCTGGTCCAGTGACTTAGACCTTGAAAATGGTGTCAAACGTCTTTTTTTTTGTCTAAAAAAAGTCTCTACGTAATGATGTTTTTTATCCACATGAAGATGCCAGGCTGGCTCGTGTGGCAGGTGTTAAAAATCCTCTGTTATATTAATTAAATCAAATATAGTGTATGGCTTAAAAATCACGCGTATCCTCAATTAGGTGAGAAGCTATTTTTACTAAAATATCACCAACTCCTACTTCTGCTGCTTCATTGTTTTAATTGCAGTGCTGCTTTGTTATATATATATATATATATATATATATATATATTATACTTTTGAATGCTTTGTTCACGTACCTCCCAGAAATATCGCGAGCGTGGTTTCGGTATTGACATTTTGATGCCTTTTCAAAACACGCACTGGTAAAACTCCTAAACACAGAAAGAAGTTTCATAAATAAACTTAGTATTCCAAAAATTGTTTAATCTCGAAGTCTTAAGTTCAAGGGAGGTCCAGTTTAATCTACACTTTGATCAACGTGTGTTATTTGGTTATATTAGTTTTGGAGAATTCCATTCCTCATCAGTAACCCTGAACACAAGTTAACCAAAGAGAGATAAGCTGGATCTTTATATCATACATTCTTCCATCAACTTGTTATTTTAGGCTTAGGACTGAGTATTGTTTGGGATAATTGTAATTCCTGTATGAAGTTTGCATATAAAGATTAAATACGATATGTAGTGTATCCCCAAAACCAGGTTAGTTGTACTCGTCAGATACATATTTTATTGAGGTAAATTTTTACCCTTCCTACATTGTAGATTGTACCTTAAGTTTATTTTTTTTTGCCAACCATGTGTGACGATTCTTGTTTTTGATTTGTTTTTTTTAAACTATTATCCAGAGTAAGGAGATGAATTTCTTTTCCCTCTGAATGTTAAAATAACATAATTGGAGTGAAGGCTGTTTTACTTAATTTACCTTTGTTTATCTAGTTAGGCTACAAGCATTCCTGGATATACGTCGTAAATGGTTTAATCATGATATTCGCCTTCACCTGTTGCAGAATTCTAATTTTTCTTTACATGTTCTGGGCGTTTGGCTTCCAATATGACAAGAGCATCCTTCAAGTAGGTTTGATTTTTATTTTACTTGAAATATTATTTGTTTTGTTTCTGGAAATTCTGACCAGGACACCAATTGAGCAGCTGTATGCAAAGTCTTTAAGTTAGGGTCTTATCCAAATTTGTTTTATGTTTAATACTGTTAAATGTTTCTTTTTTTCAAAGGAGGCCATCACAGAAGAATATGTAACGACTAAAATATTACTTGAAAGTAATTGGCGTATGTTGAGCTCTGAAATAGTGCACTACGGCCATTATTGTATAACACAAAAACGAAATTATTTTATAAAATATTTTTATTTCATGTGTATTAAAATAAAATCGAAACTGATTTTATCCTTCTTTTTTAGGTCATGTTTTCTATTCCTCTCCCCTGTAAGTTCGGCTGCCTTGTGATGCTTCTTCCTCAGGTTTACTGGCTTACTATATTGGGGAATGGAGCTTTTAAATATTTTAAGACTCCAGAAGTTGAAGACGAAAAGGAAGACTAGGAGTGAGAAACGTTTAAACCCTTTCTTAATTCCTTACATACGTGTTATTAAAGTCGGTCATTATTGTAGGGTTTTCTAGACTGCCCAGTAGGTGATTTTACACGCTCTAAAAGAAACCTAGAAATGTAGCCCAGTTAGTCAAAGGTTCTTGGTTCAAGTCTCGTTCCCAGAATCTTTTTTTCACTTTTTGGCATTTCAATTAAAAAGTAACTTTAAAATAATTCTATATTAGTATCACGTTCTTCGATTTACATATATGTTATACCTATACGAGATACAGCGGGGGCGTCAGAACTGGGGGTGCTGTAGTACGCCCACTTTTACATATTTGACTAATTTGAGTAATTTCATCGTAAATTCTGCATGTCTAGACAAGCACCCTCACTTTGCAACTAATTCACACATACTTTAGAAGAATCCACGAGACGTTGGAAGGTTAACCCAGTCACAAGAAATATTATTATTTCGAGCAAGCATCCTTGGTCTGACTGAACAGGATCTGCAAATTATGTAAAAGGCTAGCGTAAAGCCCGTTATAAATAACAGGGCGAGTACTACCACCCCCACCTCTTAGTATACCCTAACCTCACATTTCATAGCTAACTGAAATATATAAGTTTTGCGAAGTCAAGCTTGACCAACAAAGAGGCAGAAAAATGCAGTCGAGGCAGTCAAACGTTGGTAAATTCCTTTGTGAACCAATCAAAAATTAAGATCGTTCATGAGATTAATTCATGGCATATTCATAGAATAATTATTGGTAAAAATCAGTTAGATTAACAACTTCTAATATATAGAAAAGCCAGTGTATTTTGGTAACACAACATTCCAACAATGGCTTTTTATGTTATGTTGCTTAGCGACAAAAGTATAACCTAATATTGTTGTTAGTCTATTTGCTAACAGTACAGAATGAAATGTATAGACAGCAAAACTGAAAAAATATTTGTTGATTTATATAATTTAGAGTCTCCGTTGATTAAATTAAAACGATGTAACAATGAAACATTCACAACCACATCTAGAACATTTCAAACATGTTACTTTACATTAAACCATCAAAACAACCACATCTAGAACATTTCAAACATGTTTCATTGTTACATCGGGAATGTGATGGTTTAATGTAAAGTAAAACGATGTAACAATGAAACATGTTTAAAATGTTCTAGATGTGGTTGTGAATGTGATGGTTTAATGTAATGTAAAACGATGTAACAATGAAACATGATTGAAATGTTCTAGATGTGATGGTTTAACGATGTAACAATGAAACATGTTTGAAATGTTCTAG